AGAATTAACAAAAAGAAACAAAGGAAATCTGTCTAAGGGGGTCGAGGTCAGGTAAGCTGGACGCTGGGACTCAGGACTGGATCCGGGAAGGCTGGGAAGAGAGCTGGCGGAGGCAGAGGAGCTGGACACACACTGAAACTGCAGGGAGAAGGAGTTGGCAGGGCGTTATATCCAGTATTTCAAAAAAAAGAAGTCAGATCACGAAGAAAAAAAGCTTTTTCAAACTAAGCGGCCGGAAGGCTGATTACCACAAGAGTAACTGACGAACTGGTGAAGACAGGGAGGTCAGACTGGGCTTAAATGCAGGAGGTGGTGAGTAGAGGCAATCAAGCAAACCAGCAGCAGGTGGTACGTGGAACCAGGTGTGGTTGATTGCCAGACGATCCTGCCTAGGCCAGCTGACAAACAGAAAACAAAAACAGACAGACCCAACACTATCCACCTTATTCTGCCCATATCCTAACCCCTTTCCCCACACACCAATCTTTGGTGACCCAAATCTAGGCGACCCAAGCTCATCATATCGTTAACATAGCGTGTTATTCCCCCGGGACGGCGGGTTGTTTCCGCAGGCGGTGTGCATTGAGAACGCGTGTCTGGTGCGCGGCAGCAAGGAGGGAAGCAACGGAGCGATTCATCTGATGAGGACCTTGCTGCAGCCGGCCCAGAAGAACATGTATGAGATCCTGGTGGGAAATGGAGGATACAAGTGAGTTTGGCCGGCGCCGGGACGGGAGGGAGGGAGGGGTCCAACCGATCATCATCAGAGAGCGTGACTTTCGGGAACACAGAGCAGAACATGTGCTGACTTGTTGCATGACCTCACTGCGTTGGTTCTCTTCTTCTTCTTCTCCTCCTTCTCCGGGGCGTCGCTCTCCGCAGGATCTTCCTTTCGCTGGTGGAGGCGGCCGGGCTGACGGACCTGCTGAAACAGGAAGGGGACTTCACGCTGTTCGCCCCCAGCGATAAGGCCTTCAGGGGCGTGAGCGAGGCAGACTTCGCCCTCCTCAAGGGTGCGTTGAAACCGTTTACGCTTCCTACCGCCGTCCTCGTTGTTTCATTTGATGATGTTCAATGATTCAGCTCCTAAACACATCTCAGAGATCAGGAGATTCGGCGGGGGTCGGGTTCCCTTTTACTCATGAATTTAGTGATAGGAAGAACTGGGAATGCATTTTGATGGATGTATGTATGTAGTGTTTTTATTTCTGTTAATAATTCTAATAATAACAATCCAATTAGAGACCAATGGATGATTGGGGGCCATGTTGGTACAAGAGCCAGGTTGAGGAATTAGGCCAAGACACCGGGGTTAGCACCCTACCTTTAGTGATCACAGGGAGTCGGGATCTAACGCCAGGTTTAACGCCACCATCTGGTCTCCCATCCCAGGGTGGACCAGGCACAGCCCCACTTAGCAGCGCTAAGGGCCACACAAAGCACTTTTCATTTTTATGTCTCACAATTTACTACATATACAACCATGCCAGCGGGTTGAACTCCTCTGAACCAAGTGTCCGTGATCAATCAATCAAACGTTATTATTAGTGGTGGGCCGTTATCGGCGTTAACGCGCTGCGACAACGCAAGACTCTTATCGCGCGATAAAAAAAATATCGCTGTTAATCTGTGGGTTATGATCGCCCCCCCCCCCCCCCCCCCCCCGTCGTCGGTCATATGAATGCCTTCGACAGAATTCAAATGAGCCATTTTAATCTAGATTAATCTAGATTAATTCCAAGATTACAGTGAGATTAATCTAGATTAAACAAATTAATCAATGCCCACCACTAGTTATTATACACTACTTGATTAGAAGACAGCTAAATGAAAAAGGCAGGTTTTGAGCTCCTCTGGCAGCCAGTCACTTACAGAGATCATGTACTTTGTATATTGCTATTAGACGAAAGACAAAACAATAAATTAATTGAATTCATCCAATTACTTTCCTGCACGTGTTTCAGGTAACATGAACGCCCTGAGGACCATCCTCCTCTACCACTTCAACAACGGCATCTTCATCGGCGGGGGATTGGAAACGGGGGTGACCAACCTGCTCAAGTCTCTCCAGGGAAGCAACCTGAGGGTGATGTTTGTAAGTAGGCCACACACCAAGAAGTGACCTGAGGGTGATGTTTGTAAGTAGGCCACACACCAAGAAGTGACCTGAGGGTGATGTTTGTAAGTAGGCTTACACACCAAGAAGTGACCTGAGGGTGATGTTTGTAAGTAGGCCACACACCAAGAAGTGACCTGAGGGTGATGTTTGTAAGTAGGCCACACACCAAGAAGTGACCTGAGGGCAGGGGTGCAACTACCCAGAGTCAGGGGGGTATGCAAAAACCATTTTGGCGCCCCCCCCATAGATATTACGGGTTGCGCGATTGTTGAGCGGGGGGGGGGGGGGGGGGGGGGGTGGGGGGGGGGTGCTGCGCGATTGTTGAGCGGGGGGGGGGGTGCTGCGCGATTGTTGAGCGGGGGGGGGGGGTGCTGCGCGATTGTTGAGCGGGGGGGGGGTGCTGCGCGATCGCTTCCATCGCTTTGGCGCCCCCCCTTTGGCGCCCCCCTTTGGCGCCCCCCTGGTGCGGCGCCCCTATGCGCCGCATACAGCGCATACCCACTTTTTGCGCCACTGCCTGAGGGTGATGTTTGTAAGTAGGCCACACACCAACAAGTGACCTGAGAGTGATGTTTGTAAGTAGGCTACACACCAGTGCATCCATGAGATGTTTCTTGCATAGCATAGTTCCCCATCTTAACTCGTCAATTAAAATAAAGTGTAATTTTGCAGTGTTAGTTATTGTCCGTTGAGTTAGCACCTGTCATTATGTCTGTGATTTATTACAATTGAATGAACTTTTGTACATTTAGCGCGCATAATGGGGCATTAGTGACATCGAACAGAAGAGAAAAGCGTTGTGTGCCTCACACTCTCGTCCTCCATTATGTCTTTTGTGTTTTGTGGCTTATCTTTATGCCTCCCGCAGGCAAACAACTCCATGCAAGTCAACTCCGTCAAGGTGCCAGAGTCTGACGTCATGGCAACCAACGGCGTCGTCCATTTTGTCGACAGCCTTTTGTACCCCGGAGGTAATAAAAACAAATCCCCGCTTGGTCGGGAAAAAACAAGAGAGCTGCACCTTGGCCAGTGTTGGTGTTGTCCTTTTATTGTGAAAGAGTTGTGAGAGACTTCCTCGCTTGTTGTGCAGACATCCCGGTCGGGAGCCAAGACATGCTGGCGCTGCTGCGGCGGATGATCACCTATTTCCAGATCAAGGTAGGGAACAAACGCCCTGCATGTTTAATCACAAGGCCTCCAGGTTCATAGTGGGCGGGGCCTGCTGCCACACCTTGACAAACACACAGGTGTGAGAAAGTCCCCTTTCCCTTGTTTAGGGAACCAGCTATTAAATCATTATCTTTTTAATGGTTTACCTTAAAAATAATGAATTATTTTGTCCTGTAAGGACACGCAGTCTTCTGTCCTGCAGAAGCTCTTCAACATATACTGTGTGTGTGTGTGTGTGTGTATGCGTGCCTGTATATAATCTTAAACAAATCTTAACTTAATGATCCCTATCTTTGTGACTAACAGTACATCTCAGGATTCAGATATCAGGAAATTCCCCTTACCTTCATGAGTAAGTAGCACATTATATCCTCCTATCACGACGTCACGGAAACATAATGTTACTCTATTTTAATCTCCGTTAAACTGTTTTAACTCTGTTAATATGTTTAAATCTGTTTAACTGTTTTAACTCTGTGAATTTCTGTTTTGTTTAACTGTTTTAACTCTGTTAACCTTGGTCTAACTCTGTTTTTAACTCTTTCCATCTCGTGATGTCATCAGAGCGGGTGGTCACGCGTGTCGTCCAGGGAGGTACAGTAAACTAAAATACATGATGCCATTGTCAGGTGATTCACAGTCCAGTTAAGATGAAATCAAATGATAAATTATTCAATAATGAATCACATATGTATCATCATAGAATAGAATAGAATACAACTTTATTGTCCACACAGGGTGGAAAACTGTTCTTGACATATAAATAGTTTCACAAATTTGCAACAATTTGTTTGCTTTCGTTTTTTTGGTATCGTAAAATCTTCTTTCTTCATTCGCAGCCCCAGAGGTTACCAAGGTGACCAGGGTCATCCAAGGAGAGAGTACTAAGGTAACCCGGGTCATCGAACGTCAGCCATCTGTCAAGAAGGTTACCAGGGTGATCGATACGGAGCCCATCATGACCACAGTGACCAGAGTAGTAGGTAAATACCACGTGTCCATGGTCGTTGATGTAACCATGGCTACAGCCTCCTGAGACCATCTTGATATTCAGATTCGCAATGACTTTCAGGCTGCCCTTTGCTGGGCAGTTATTGATTTCCAAATATGGGCGTGGCTTACTCCAGCCAATCAGATTTAAATAACTAAGTCACGCTGTTGCTCTCTTCACACTTACCGAATCAAGTTGGAAGTGAAGCAAAAACATCTCCTCCGCTGAGAAAGGCCTTCCATGCAAATTTCTGTTCATCTTTTAACATCGTTATTCTGTCTATTCCAGATAAAAGTCTAGCAATCTGCTCCGTAGTTTGCTAGACTTTTCTCGGGTGCCGCCGTTGTTTCCTTGTTCGTCGCGAACTAAAACTCCCTCTATCGGCCCGTCGATTGGTCCGTCCACTTTTGGGGTTTTAAAACGTTTGTTTCAAGGGGCTGGAGGCCAGACTGACCTTCAGCTAAAGGTGTGAGAAACTGAAATGTGAACTCGTGTGATCAGGATGGTCTCGCGAGGCTAGGATTAATCTGGGACGCCTCTGGGATTAATACAGAATGGTCCAACAAGTCTAGGATTAATCTGGGACACGTCTAGGATGAATAAAGATGAATAACGGACCGTCTTATCTGAACTTTTCCAGGGCCTGAGTACTCTGTCGGCCGGGGGACCACCAACATCGCCATAGAAGGTCAGTCACAGATCTCTGCATAATCACAGGGGACAGGTTAGTTCAGTTGTTAGGGTGTTTGACTCCCAGACAAATGGTACTGGGTTCGAACCCCACAGCCTAACCTGTAGGCAAGGTGCCCTAACCCCTACCTGCTCCTTAATGACATGTTTCTGAATTCACTGTAAGTCACTAAATGTCTTAATTGTCTGCTAAATTAGTAAAATGTGTTATGTTAAAGTTAGTTGACAGTTTTTTCCTGTTGTTGCTAAGGAGACGCAGGTTACTTCAGAAGCAGCGAGGGGAGCCTCAACGCCGAGAGGATCTCCTCGGTCATCCATGGTAAGGCTGCGCACCGTCCTCCAGGTGGACCAGGGCTACTTCCCTATTCGCAGTGCTGTCTGAAATCTGAGAGTACAAATCTGATTCCCTATATAGTTCACTAATACCCATAATGCACTGTAAAATAACTGTACAACTGATCACTTATTTCCTCACAATATCCCATGATGCATAGCGGTGAGATCTAACACGCGTCCGCTTTTTTATGCAACCAATACACACACATTTCCGAGGGCCTAATTAGTGTCCGAATTCCTCCTATTCCTCCTCCTTTGTTGTTCCCTTAATAGTATGTAAAACTGTATAGTGTTCACTAAAGAGGGATTAGGGAACAAGTGAACGACCTTGAACAACATGGCTCAAGTACCTGGACTTGGATGTCCAAAATAACACGCTGTAACGCGACCATGTGAAGGGTGGTAAACGTGTTTCTCTTCCAGGTGACGGCAGAAGGGCCTCCCCGTTACGCAGAGTCCCAGGTAAAGAAACTTAAACTTAAACTGAACTTTTGGAGTCTGGAGATGACACTTTATGGTTCTTTGTGGTTTTTTTGGCCCAATCGTCTTTTCCTTTTTGTTGCCAGCTGGGGCCAAGAGGAGAATGAACGTGGTCCGGAACCAGTGATCTGGGCTGGAGGGACGAGACCCCAGCAGAAGGTAACCACCCAGGGATCAACCCAAACGGAGGAGGAGGAAGAAAGAGAAAGGAGAGGACAGCTCTGGTCTGACATGGTAAAAGTTCGTGGGTGAAATGGAGCACAACTGGTGTACGTTACCAAAAAATACAAAATAAACCCAAACCACTTTGTTTAATAATTCAATGGTGCTTTTTGATGTAATATTGGGATGGGGGGGGGTGGGGGCAGTGTAAGAGGCCAGCTTGGAGAATTGCTGACCCCTTGCAGTCGCCACTCAAGGAAAACGTTGGCAGGACTACAGAAGAAAAGTTGGAGAGGCTATAAAATGTCTCAAAATCTGTGCTATTAACCCCGAAAGCCGAAATTCCTAAACTGTGTTTTGCTTGCGCTGGAGGTGAGGTCTGAAGCAGAAGAGGTTTTAATGACTGTGGATGATGTAATGAATCTCTGGGCGATAAGGGAGCTGGTGTCGTACGGTCAAATCGTGTCGACGTTCCTGTCGCGACATTCCTACTCCTCTACTTTCCGTTGAATCTCCTTCCACTTGTGTGTGTTTCGCTTTTTTTTTTTTTACCTTTATGTTCATTTATTTTTGTTTTTAAGTTGTAATATTTGGATTTTTGTCAGTTTTTTTTTACTGCTTTTGTATTTTCTTGGACACAATTATTCCATAGCATTCCCTCTAAGATGTTAAGATATTTGAAACATATTTGTCATACATTGCGCCTTACGATTGGTCCGTATTACAGCCTAGAACTTGGTGTAATTGCATTGCATCAAAATAAGCCAGTCATACTCAACTCACTACAGAAACATGTATGGTGACGGAAAATAATAAATAAACACGTGTGCTTGCTTGGTTTAATAAACCGTCTTCTTCCATCAAAGGTAAATTCACTCTAATTCCAACATAAGAGTCGATGAGTTTATATTGAGCATGAAGGAGATGAGCTGCAGCACATGTGTAAGATGAAGAGCAGAAACCATTAAAGATGGAACTTACTCAGAAGTATGGAAGGAGTTTCTGGGGATTTAAAGTATGAAACGCTTGTCCAAATGCTGAATTTACTGAAGTGGTGTGCCCACACACACACACACACACCCCTCACCCTTGCACACAGCAGAACATATGACAGAGGGCTGAGATATTGTCTTTTGACATTAAATTGAGATATATGATGCAGATGATGCCAACATCGGCTCCTTGTTTTGGAGATACACTGCCTGCTGCCAAGTGTTTGTTATTTGTTATTTTGCTTGGCATTAAAAAACAAAGAAATTAAATTGAGAGAAAAGTAGAGAAAGAATAATTGAAAGAGTGAAATAAAACGGGATGTGGGAAAGAAATTGCTTTCAAATGAACAGTAACCCACAGACAGTAAAATATGTTAATCAATCACAGTCCAGCTCTGTTTCTACAACCTAACCTTCACTTCAATGCCAATAAATATTACCAATAAATACCTCTAAAGTTGAGCATTGTGATCATGGGCCAGTTCAACTGAATATGACAATCGTGTAAAGTGGATTTATAAGGGAACCCTGCTGTAACTGAAACCATACTGGCAGCTGGAGCCATCCGAGCAGCATGCCGTATTTCATGCAGAACATCAGATGTTACAGCATTTCCACAGAACTGGAAGAATGCTGTAAACAGATTACCCCCCCGCAATGTTCCCCCCCCCCCCCCCCATCTCCAGTGGTCCCACACCAGGCGCTGACCTCTCTCCACTCCCCAGCCGCCAGGTTTGGGGGGAGTTTAGGTTACACACCGCAACACGATGAGGCCAGCAGGTACATCCTCCCAGGTCCATCAGCGTTTGGGTTAGGGTTAGCGTTAGCTCGCGGCTCGGAAACACTGCCATAATAATCAGTGGAAGGTGCTCCACTGGCCGTGTGGTGCTCCACTGGCCGTGTGGTGCTCCACTGGCCGTGTTCAATGCGTCCGATGACAAAAAGAAATCACTGAGCTTTAATTCTCATTGGTGAACCCTAGCGTCATGAATGATGTCATTCTTTGTACATTGATTGTTTTCCTGACATTGGGGACATTTACGTATCACTTTTCTAAGCACTTCGGAAATAAATGCGTCAGATTCAAATAAATCAATGTAAGTCTCTTTGGATAAAAGCGACTAAATGATGAGTAAGGCGATATTGAAGGTAATAACCAGCCTCTAGATCTGGCCTTTCTAGATCCTGTCCACCTCGGTGTAACTTAAGCTATTTTACCACCAGGTGTGATGTTGATTAGCCATTACAAGCCAGTCAGTATCTCAGTACTGTATCACTAATTCTATCAATAATTCAATAATTTGCTGACAGCCTAAACACTACGAATAAAACAGTAGTTTTTCTTGATAACTTTAGACTCCTACAGCCGAGCAGGTTTAATTCTGTCACCATGGCAATGTGTTTCTTGTCATCTACTGCAGCAGAATCTAAAGTTGCACAATCTGGCTGGCGGTGGCTGCCAGAGGAGCAGAAAAAACAGCCCAATAAATATGTCTCTGTCGGTTCCAGGCACTGGATTTGGCCAGGAAACCTTTAAACGTTTTCCAATTTACTCGGTTGACTACGTGGCTATTGGTGGTGAGCTCATAGCTATTGTCGCATCCAAGCTTGATGCATATCTGTGTGTCTTGATGTCCTGTATTGTTTTGGTGTCACAAACAACATTCCTTAACATTATCCATTGCTACATCAACAAAACAACAAATCAACGAGGGCGATGTCCCGAGGACAAAAACAAATCCTGAAAGATGAAACTGTGATCTAGCATGTTGAGTCGTGGACACACCTCGTCTTCAAGATGTCTCCCAAACAATCTTTTAAACTTAGTCCGACAGCAGCTGCAGACGGAGGCCAAAGCCTTGCATAAATCTAGCTTTGCTGGAACGACCGGAAAAATAACACACATCCAAATAGTATAATGTGGGCCTGTCCTGCTCCAAAATATACTCATTTTATTCCATTACATTTCTTAAACTGTAGGATTAGACATGGATGTATTGGTTTTGATTCGCTTCCATTGAGATATTGCTGGCAGATACAGTCAGTGCACCGCTCTGAGCTATTTTTGCATTTTTCTATGCCAAGTTTTTGGCATCGAAATTGTGCTTATTGATTATTATACTGCAAATAGTAAGCCCAGTAATACTAAGAGTAATGCATCACTAGTGTTTTAGTGCATTGGAAGGTAATAGCCATTGCTTAATATTTGCAGAAGTTTAAGTGTTGTCTTGTTTAAATTTAAATTTACATCACAATAACACATAGGTCAAAATAGTGGTAATAGTTACTTGCCTGGGTCCAGACCTTTGAGTCTGCCCAGTCCACCGAGTGGACTGATTCTGGTCTGGCATCATGACATGAAACAGCGGTTTCTCAGTTGAAAAAGTGATTATCTAATGAACGCCGTGGGGGGGGCTAACGATTAGCCAATCAGCGCCACAGGCAGGACTAACACCGCTGTCAAGCTGTGCACTGGAACCAGGGAGGAGTAATAACAACAATGGCAACCACTATAGACCAGATAGACACTGATATCAAGGCTGTTCTAAATCGAGGTATGTTGAGGCATGTCTTCTCAATATCGCTCAACATCATAATTTGTTTTTACTTTGCTCCACTCCACTTTAAAACCCTGGCAAAATCACTATTTTGGCATGGCTACGCATCAGTGTCAACTTAAAATTACGTTAGATTCAGGTATACAATACGTCGGTCTCTAGACTTTGGCCTCCGTTTTGGCCACAAGAGGCTGCAAGTTAACAGAAAAGGGCACATTGTTTCAGTGTGAGCTACGAGAAGTGGAAGGCACCAAACAACGCTGAGTGGACATTGCTCTAACAACCTGCTGCATCACAAAGGTAAGTAGCACCTCAAAGGGTCAGAACATTGCTGATGAAGATGTAAGGCACATCAACATTCCTGACCACGACACGTCGCAGAATTGACATGTGTGAAGCAGTAACCAGGATGATTGTTGAGACTGCAAGGGGTCGTCTAGAACCAAGAAAAGGTCCCCAAGAACACAGCCTGAGAGAGAGCCTGTGCTCAAGTTACAGCCTCAGACAAAATAAGCATCGTCTCTCGCCGCACAAAGTCCTCCTCTAATTCTTGAAGCCACTCAAGACTCACACTCAAGA